TCATATTGTGGTGGGTTGTGTGTTTCTGTGATGCTGGAAGCAAAGTCACTAGTACTTTCAACACTAGCAGGGTTGTCCAAGGTGAATAAGTTTCAGCAGAGCTTCCAGACTAAGAACAAGCTATGAAGAAGGAATATGCTATCCACCTATGAGTGATTAGACAATGAGAACTTTATGAAAATCTGCAAAACATTACCAGATATAGTGCTGGAAGATGAACCCTCAGATTGGAAGGCACTCAGAATAAGCCTGGGAAAGAGATGTTGCTCGAAAGTGGAGTCAAGCATCATGATGTAAACGGGGTAAAGCTTTCAGGACCGTCCTTTGCTGATGGAGAGCAAATACATGTGGGAAGAAACAGCTGTAAACATCTCTCTTGAAGTACAGTGCTGTCTGTGATAGGATACTATCTACACACCCACAAGGAGGTTCCTTTACTACAACTATTAGTCAAATGTATACACTAACCACCAAAGCTAGTGATGAAGAAACTGAAGACTTCGGCCAACATCTTCAGTCTAAAATTGATCAACCAGGCAATTAAAATCCATTGATCATTATTGGCGATTGGAATGGGAGCATGAGAAATAAAAGAGGAAGTATATACCTGGACTCTCTTGTATTATAGAATTTTTCTTATTCTAAATACCCTTGACATTACAGCTGACAAAAAAACAAACACACAAAGACTGGTATTTCGGATGTTTTTCTGAAATCTTTTAAGCTAAAAATCACATACCAGAATTGACTTTGCAGCTACTAATTTTGACACCTTTTAGACTTGTATAAAAAGTGTGTTGTGTTAAAAGCAGGAAACCAATGAGTGCTGCCATTTGGATATTTCGTTTTCTCTTGAGTTCAACCCCACCCTGGTGTCTCCATTTATACCATCTAATGTATGACACTGTTGTAGTATGTATAATTTTGTGGCCTTTATTTCCCTTTGTATTCATTTTACGCATCTAAATAAATTGCTGTATTGTGCTTCATGTTAAAAAAAAAAAAAGAGGAAGGAACAGCAGTTGGAAAATATGGCCTTGGTATGGGAAATGAAGCTGAAGATCGTGTGATAGAACTTTACAAGACCAACAACTTCCTTATTGCAAATACCTTTTATCAACAACGTAAACAGTGACTATACACATGGTCTTTACCAAATGGAATACGCAAGAATCAATTTGACTGTATCTTCAAGAAGAGATGGTGGAGAAGTTCAGTATTAGCAGGCAAAACGGGACCAGGGACTGACTGTGAAACAAGTTGAAGAAAATTAAAACGAGTGCACCAGAGCCAAACTACAACTTGGAGTCTATCCCACGTAAGTCCCGAGAACATTTGAAGAGCAGATTTGACGCGTTGAACACTAATGCCCAAAGACCCAATGAGCTGTGAATGACATCAAGAATATCAACACAAAAACAGCCAAAGCCCATTACATAGGCAAGAGCAAAAGAAGAGGTCAAAGTGCACGCCATGAGAGACTCTGAAACGTGCTGTCAAATATAGGGTAGATAAAGTCAGTGGAAGAAACGATCATGTAAAAGAGATGAATGGAAAATTTTAAAGAGCTGCTAAGGAAGACAAAGTATTATAACAAAACGTGCAATGACCTGGAGTTAGAAAACCAAAAGGTAAGAAAAGACAATCAGTATAACTCAAGCTGAAAGAATTGAAGAAAAAATTGAAGCATCCAGTTGCATTATTTAAGGATTCCATGAGCAATATATTGAATGATGCAGGAAGTATCAAAACACAATGGAAGGAATTCATAGTCACTGTACCAAAAAGAATTTGTTGACATTCAACCATTTCGAGAAGTAGGATATGATTGAAGATTAATGGTGTTGAAAGAGGAAATCCAAGCTGCACTGAAGGCAGTAGTGAAAAACAAGGTCCCAGGAATTGGCAGACTATTAATTGGGATGTTTTAACAAGATGATGGAAGCACTGGAAGCGTTCATTCAACTATGTCAAGAAATTTGGAAGACAGCTACCTGGCCAACTGACTGGGAGAGATCCACATTTGTGTCTATTCTAAAGAAAGGTGGCCTAACAGAAAGTGGAAATTGTCTAACAGTATCATTAATAACACATGCAAGTGGATTTTTGCTGAAGATTTTTCAACAGTTGCAGCAGTACCTCAATAGGGAGCTGCCAGAAATCCAAATGAGATTCAGATGATGATGTAGCATGAGGGCTATCCTTACTGATGTCAGAAGGATATTGCTGAAAGCAAGATGTTTCCTTGTGTTTCATTGACTCAGCAAAGGCATTCAACTGTGTGGGCCATTAACAAATTATGGGTAGCAGTGAGAAGATAGAGCCTTCCAGAACACTTCATTGGATTTATGCAGAACCTGTATCTGGACCACAAAGCAGTCATACAAACACAGCAAGGGAATGCTGCATACTTTAAAATGAAGCAAGGGATGTGTCAAGGTTGTGTGCTTTCACCATAAACATTTAGTCTGTATGCTGAGCAAATAATCCGAGAAGCCGTACTCTATGAAGAAGCTGGCTTGAGGACTGGAGG